GGAATTTGGCATATACTAGGACTCAAGAAATATGTATTGAATAAATTAATATTGAGACTATTTCTTTTTATTTCTTAGTATTAAAATGCTGAATGGACACTTTTGTTGTTAAATTCTACCAGAATCCACAGTAATAATTATTTATTTAGGATACATTTCTCTAAGTAGAAATTCTGGCTCAAAGAAAAGCAGATTTTAAGGCATTAATGTTTATTTCCAAGTGGACCAAATGGAATCAGTTTACATGCTCACTGGCCAATAAGCTTTTTTGAATACTTATTTTTCTGTATTCTTGACAAAACTGGATATTTCATTTTTAAAAATCTTTGTTAATTTCATAGATTTGTAGGTCATCTAATTTTAGTAGTTATTTTTATTTACTTGATTACTATTTAGGTGGATCATTTTTATGTTTTTGTTTTCATTTTAATCCTGAGTGATTTTTCTATTATTCAAAAGTTTTTTTTTTATTAATAAAATAGACTGTGGGAACTCTTAATTCCTATATCACTCATTCTATATTCAGTGCAATGTCCAAAGTTTAGAGGGGTATTTGTTTTTAATCATTGTTTTTCTATCATCATGTTTAAATCAGTTCAAAACCAAAGAGCTCATTTAGTACTCCAAACAATGGACAATATGTTCAAAGGATCCAGCAGTCTGGTAGAATCAAACAGCAAAAAGTCAAAGAAAAGAACTCTAATTAAAAGAACTTTTCGGGGCGCCTGGGTGGCTCAGTTGGTTAAGCGACTGCCTTCAGCTCAGGTCATGATCCTGGAGTCTCGGGATCGAGTCCCGCATCGGACTCCCTGCTCGGCAGGGAGTCTGCTTCTCCCTCTGATTCTCCCCCCTCTCATGTTCTCTCTCTGTGTCTCATTCTCTCTCTCAAATAAATAAATAAAATCTTAAAAAAAAAAAAAAAGAACTTTTCACAGGTCAAAAGTGTAAGCTCATTAATGTTTTACCATGCAGATGGCATTAATAAGTAACCAAAGATGCATGTTCATTATTATCGTCCCCACCATTATTCCTTTGATATAAATGGCTCAGTAGATGTGAGGCACTTACTCAGATGATCAGATTCAATAATTAACATGGTACCTAGTCTCTCTCCCTACAAAAAAACTCAGTGGGGTCAATAAAGGAAGATACATATTATTTAAGAGAGAAAGAAATATTCTCACCTTATAAAAGAGATAATTTATCCCAACATTATTTATAATTTCAATAACATTGGAAATTTTCAATATTATAGTAAATGGTTGTCCAAGGGAGTTAAGATGGCAGAGTAGTAGGGGGACCCTGGGCTTATCTCGTCCCTCAAACACAGCTAGATTATAGTGAATGGTTAACTAAATTATGGGAACATGCCTAACTAAAGAAATATGCTGTCATTAAAAACAAGATGTTTCTAAAAAATTATCAGTAATACGGGGAAATGTCTATGATATAATGTTACATTTTTTTAAGACAGGCAACTGCATGCACTAAAATTACAATTATGTAAAATATGTTTATTATAAACATATGCATAAAGGACTGGTAGGAGATACACTAAAATATCTATCTCTGTGTAGTGAGATAACAAATGGTTGATTTTTCTTCTTCTTTTTCCTTTTACAGTGATAACATATTACTTTGCTAACCTGATAAAAACAACACCAGAGGCCAGTTTTTGAAAGGGAGAGACATACCAAGCTGATAACAGTAGTCACCTCTAGAAAGAGCAATGAGACTGAGGTAAGTACTTTCTCTCTCTCTCTCTTTTCCTCAACAGATGAAGAAACTGAAATTTAGAGAAATAACTTGACTTTGGGAAATTTATATGGAAGTGAGATAAAACCCCAGACGTTCAATGTCTCACACACTGGAAACACCAAACTCACACTAATATATTAGACATTAGCAAGTCTTATTAAAAGGTCCATAGTGGACATGCAGCTCTCTGCTACTACACCCCTGGGCAAACAGTAACTCACTTGAGGAAAGACCAGGCTCATACTCAGAACAAGCCAGGGACTATGACCTCTCTTCACATTACCCCCCACATACCTACTGATATGTGCTCTTATTATTATAGGTGAACCGCCTGAGTTATAAGCAAAGACCACCCACTCCAATTTGTGTGCTAGTTCTATTCCTTCTTGACATTACTCCACAAATCTCATTTCTCACTGCTATATTCTCAATTTTTCTCTTTTCTACTTGATCATTGTCCATCTTGGGGAAAAAATGCTCTTGATTTCACTTTCCTTTCCACTTCTCACTTCATTTCTTTTCTCCCTGTTAGAGAAAATCTTAAGAGTTACCTAGGTTTGCTATCACCTATTTCTCTCCTCGCATCTTCTCTTAAACCCTTCTATTTTAAACTTTGTACCTGCCACTCCCCCAAAGAACTCCATGTCGCTAAACCCAATGATCAATTCCAAGTCTTCATCTGACTTGATCTATTAGAAGTATATGAGATAGTTGATCATCCTCTTCCCGTTAATAAATATTAATTTGTTTTCTACCAAGGCACTTTAGTTTTCCTTCTACCACTCCAGCTGCTCCTTCTTAATATCCTTTGCTGCTTCCTTCCTTCTCTTTTACCTTCTCTTTCATCCATAATGTGCAGGCCTCAGCCCTTGGATTTCTCCTCTTCTCCATCTACCACCACTCTTTGGTGATGTTATCTGGTCTCATATCTTTCACCTGATGACTTCCAAGTGTACATCTCCAGTTCAAACTCTCTCCTAAGCTACAGACTTCAGTATCTTACTCAATACCTCTATTTGTGTGTTTAATAGACATCTCAAACTTAACATTTCCAAAGTGGAACTCCTGATCTTCCTCCAAAACCTGTTCTGCTCATAATCTTCCCAACCTGAGGAATACCGGGTTTATTCTTTCAGTTACTTAGCCCAAAAAACTTAAATTCATCCTTAACATCTCATTCTCTCACCAAAAAATCTTACAGGCCCTACCTTCAAATTATATCCAGAATCTAACCTTTTCTCATAACGTCTATTACTACCACTCTGGTCCAAACTAAAATCACCTTTGGTCTGGACAAAGTACAGTTTTCTGACTGGTCTCCCTGCTTTCACCCATGTACTCAGAACTCGAATGCATTCTGGACGGATCACTCTGGTTGTTGTGTTAAAAAGAGCTAGAGAGGAACAAAGATATTATCTTAAATTTTACAGTTGAGAAAACCAAAGCTTAGACAGGTTGTTTGTTCAGGATCACATACCTAATAAAACGTTAGAGGCTCTTCTTTTTTACCTTATACCTTTCACCATTGTGTTATACTTTCTCTATACATAGGAGGCCCATACTTAACTGCTTTACCTGGGTCAGTCCTGGCTTACACGTTGTCCTGGCATGATTTAACTGTACCCTCCTTTCACCCACAAATATATCCTGCTCTGGATGATAAACTACATGACATAGATAAATAAATATATAGATAAGTATATAGACATATGTTTGTTTATTTATCTATCTTTATATCTATATAGATAAAGAATATAGATAGCATACATATTTTAATCCTATCAATAAGCAGGAGTGGGATTAGGTAGATACAAATATAGATTATCCAACTTACTGTCATTAACATCAAGTGTTGAGTGTGGTAAGTATCAGATCAATAACTATCAGCTCCCTTCAGCAGCCAGGGAATCATTTAACTCTAGGAGATCAATTAGAAATGTCCCAATGAAAAGAATCAGTGATTCTTGGTCAATGTTTCACTTTAGAGTTCCCACATCCTCTCCTCTCATTTACCAGAGCTCACACATATGAATCTTTAACTCTACCGTTACCTTAGTCTTAGCCCCTGGTACTATCTGATGGACATTTTAAATCAGATTTGCTGCCAACCTCTTGATACGCCTGCAATCAAATATCACTTTACCCCCAAACCAGCTCTCCCTTCAGACTTCCTCAGTTCTATGAATGAAGTCATCTATTACCCAGACTCAGACTGTGAAGTCATCTTTCACCTCCTCATTTGCTCTGTCCTACCCCATTCACATCATCCAGCCACCCAGGTTTGCCAGTCATCAATAGACTTTTTATCTATGTCATTGGGGAACTGTAATAGCCTCTGCCTCTGCCCTGCTCCCTGCAAAAGCTTTATTTGGAAAATCTTCCTCAAGTACTGCTATAATCACAGCTCTCTTTTTCAAAGCATGCATTCTCCAGAGTCCAGCCCAACTTCTAACTCCTTCAAAGACACCTTCCACCCACAGAAAGGCATTTCTCCCTCCTCTGGATCTCTACCAAGCCTCTTATCTGTACCAGTTGCTCAACACTCTTACCACCTGGTACTATTATCTTTTCTCTTTAATTAGAGTATGGCATTCCTGAGGGTCAAGGTCCTATCTCAGATGTTTTGTTTTGTTTTTTCTTTTTAATCTCCCTCAAGTCTAATACATTGCTGGTTGCTAAATGTTTTCCCTGTTTGGTGACAGGAAAGTAAAGGACAGCCAAATTAGATGAAGTCTACACATGACAACTTGAATTCAAAAATTAGGATTGGAGTAAGCCTCTAGGAACAGCTTTCCAGTCTTCCTTAGAAAAGTTACAGAAATAGTCTCAAGATCAGTCATATACTCTCATATCATTTCATCAAACTCCTCTGAGAAAAGAAAATTCTCTTTAATCAATATATCTGAAAAAATAGTTTTGAAGATGAAAATATATGATTCACTTGCCCTAGGCAACACTGCTGGACTTTCTGATCTTCTTGAGTATATTTTTCATTTACATATATCTTTATTCTGGAAATACTGTCTGAATTTTGATTTCTTAAAAAACAAAGGGGGATAAGTTGATTGAAAGAAAATAAATTTTATTTGTGACATTCAATATACCCAGAGTACTGTGTCATTTAACTCCTCTATTTCTCTGAAACAGTCATTTAGAAAGCACTTTGGTAAAGCAGAAAGAGAACTAAATTGGGAAGGATCTGGCCACTTGATATAATGCATCCCACTCTCTCTAACACTTACCACCATCTACTTTGTTCTTCAAGTACGTGTGCTTTGCTTCTTCTGTATCCCCTTTTGACTAAAATGTGATCTTCATGAGAGCAGGAACATCGTCTGTCTGCTTCTTCAACAGTCCTTGGGTGGTAAAACTTAAGTAAATCATTTAGCTTCCTTGAGTATTAGTTTCCTCATAGGTAAATTTTAAAGACTAAACTGGATAACCTCTAGTTTCTCTTTAATTCAACAATTTTATTATTTATACAATATAATGAGGAGCATAAAAGACAAGGCTAATTGGGGTTTATGGTGGCCAAAAAATCTTTAGTTGATTAGGGCAGCTATTCTAGCCAACTGGATATGTTCCGTGAAATGTTTACTTTTCCTGCTTAAAGCGCAAAGAAATATAACCAGCAACTAGTCCTATCATATAGATTGGTTATTTCTGTTGTTGCTTCTAGATTTCTCAAAGCTAAACCAGATTCTCTTAATGCCTGAGACACTTTGAAAGTTGACTATCTTTTTAAGCCCATTGAGCTCCTACTTAATAGACCAAGTTAAATTCATTAAATGATCTCCAGTGGTCTGTAGTTTTGAATTAGTTTCTTCTTTCTTTTAAAATCTTTCCCACTATCGATCATTTTCATCATTCTGCCCATTTGCAAAAGTAAACTGTTAGTGTCCATGTGACTAGGAAAATCAGATAATTAGAAATCCAAGTTTAGAGATTAATTAGTGAGTGATTACTTACATTGTAAAATACTTCTTAATGCTCATCCTCCCCCAAAAATATTTATTGTATAGTTGTCAACTCATGAACTATCTTAAAATCTTTAAGTAAGGATTCCATTCATAAAAAAGAAAATCAGTTTAAACACAGCAATCAAATTAAACCAGGAGACCATTGTAAACCATACTTCTGCTTCAAGTAAGAAGTTGCAAATATTCTCTCTTCTTCCATGCCGCCTGCAGAGGTGGCAGCTGTCTCCTACTCAGCATCATGGCCACCCTCAGACCTCTGGTGAAGTTCAAGATTGTTAAAAGAGGACCAAGAAGTTCATCCGGCACCACTCCAACCAATATGTCAAAATTCAGTGCAACTGATGGAAACCCAGAAGCATTGACAATAGGGTGCACAGAAGATTCAAGGGCCAGATCTTGACACCCAACACTGGTTATGGGAGCAACAAGAAAACAAAGCACATAGTGCTCAGTGTCTTCCGGAAGTTCCTTGTCTACAACGTCAAGGAGCTTGAAGTGCTGCTGATGTGCAACAAATCTTACTGTGCAGAGATTGCTCAGAATGTCTCCTCCAAGAACCACGAAGCCATTGTGGAAAAAGCAGCCCAGCTGGCCATCGGAGTCACCAGTCCCAATGCCAGGCTATGCAGCGAAGAAAATAAATAGACAGCTTATGTGCACATCATATTTGTGTTAATAAAACAACAGAACTATAAAAAACAGAAGTTGCAAATGCTGTCCTACATTTATAAAGTGAAAGATACACCTTTAGGAAATCAAAAGGATGATCTGTGGGCTCATAGAGAAGGAATAAATGATTAATGGGGGCCATTTTGGATTCACAAAGAATACCAACTTAAACTAACTTCATTTTTTGATAGGCGTACCAACGAGACTGATAGATCAGAAGAATATTATAGGCATGCAAGGATCTGAATTTTAGTATTTCTAGATAACTTTATTGAAAGCATGGTGAAATGTGAGCTGGTAATCATATAGTTAGGTTGATTTCAGAACTGGCTGAATGGCTTACCCAAGGATGCCAGTCAAAGCACTGACATCAACTTAGAGGGGCTTGATACCACATTTTGTCCACATCCTGTGTTATGGAGACTTGGAGGATAAAAATGACATAAATAAATGAGTGGGTAGGAAATAGCTAGAAGGAGTAGTGAATTCATGGGATAACCAAGGAGCAATCCAAAATGAATTCAATAGAGCTAAATCATGCAATTAATTTTACAGAAAAACTATATGGATAATCAGTCATCAGAAAAATGCAAAGTGGGGTGCCTGGGTGGCTCAGTCGTTAAGCATCTGCCTTCGGCTCAGGTCATGATCCCAGGGTCCTGGGATCGAGCCCCGCATCGGGCTCTCCGCTCGGCGGGAAGCCTGCTTCTCCCTCTCCCACTCCCCCTGCTTGTGTTCCCTCTCTCGCTGTATCTCTCTCTAATAAATAAATAAAATCTTTAAAAAATTAAAAATTAAAAAAAATTTTTTTAAATGCGAAGTCAAACAATAGTAAAAAAAAGAGTGAGATAATACCTTATACCTCTTTAAAATGACTAAAACTTAAAGGACTTTATGGTAACTAGTGCTGAAGAAGATACAGAAAACTGGAACTCTATACATTACTAATGAGAGCATAAACTGGTACCTCCAGTTGAGGAAACTGTTTGGCAGTATGTATTAAGCAAAACAGCTATATATCCTAGGACCCATCAGTTTTACCCCTAGGTATATAATCAACAGGTATGAGTACTTATATCTTCCAAAAGACATGTACTATAATTGTCATGGTAGCTTTATTCAAAAAACCAAACAGTTGACTAGATAGGTAAATTGTGGTATAATTTATACTATGGGAAGTTACATAACAATAAAAAGAGTAAGCTTCTACCTTATTCAACAATATAAATAAATCTCACAGACACCAAGGTGAGAATTGAAATTGCACAATTCCATTTATATGAAGTTCAATCAGGCAAAATTAATTCATGGTAATAGAAGCCGGAGTAGTGATTACAATTGGGGAGCTGTTGGCTGTGAGAGGGCATGAGAAAACTTCTTAGAATTCTGGAAAAATTCTATATGCTGACCTGAGTGGTGGTTAGATGGGCATTTATATATACAAAAATTTAGATTAGTGCTTATTACTATGTCTAAATTATTCCTCATCAAAAACATCATACCTAAGAATAAATGAGAAACTGCACTTAGATTCAAATAAGCAATTCTACAGGATAGAGAAGAGCCCAAGCCACGCACATGAAAATACCAGCAGGTTTTAGCTGTATACACACACTATCTAGGTACATGGCATAGATAAAAGCTAAAGAGGTCTTAATATTCCTGAAATTGTGCCGTAAGAATGAACAATCCGAAGGGGCGGAGCAAGATGGCGGAGGAGTAGGAGACCTGGATTTCGTCTGGTCTCAGGAATTCAGCTGGATAGGGATCAAACCATTCTGAACACCTACAAACCCAACAGGAGATCAAAGAAAAGAAGAGCAACAACTCTCTCATCAGAAGAACGACCACTTTCTGGAAGGTCTTTTCTGATTTGTTTAGAGTATATTTTCTGGGGACGTGGTTACTCTGCTAGCATTTTGTTCTCTCATTAATCTATTCTCCTCTGCACAAAATGACAAGACGGAAAAAATCACCTCAACAAAAAGAACAAGAGGCAGTACCGACTGCCAGGGACCTACTCAATACGGACATTAGTACGATGTCAGATCTAGAGTTCAGAATCATCACTTTAAAGATACTAGCTGGGCTTGAAAAAAATATGGAAGTTATTAGAGAAACTCTTTCTGGAGAAGTAAAAGAGCTAAAATCCAACCAAGTAGAAATCAAAAAGGCTATTAATGAGGTGCAATCAAAAATGGGGGCGCTAACTGCTAGAATAAATGAGGCAGAAGAGAGAATCAGTAATATAGAAGATGAAATGATGGAAAATAAAGAAGCTGAGAAAAAGAGAGATAAACAACTACTGGATCATGAGGGCAGAATTCGAGAGATAAGCGATACCATAAGACGAAACAACATTAGAATAATTGGGATCCCAGAAGAAGAAGAAAGAGAGAGAGGGCCAGAAGGTATAATGGAGCAAATTATAGCAGAGAACTTCCCTAATTTGGGGAAGGAAACAGGCATCAAAATCCAGGAAGCACAGAGAACCCCTCTCAAAATAAATAAAAATAGGTCAACTCCCCGACATCTAATAGTAAAACTTACGAGTCTCATAGACAAAGAGAAAATCCTGAAAGCAGCTCGGGAGAAGAGATATGTAACCTACAATGGTAGAAACATTAGATTGGCAACAGACCTATCCACAGAGACCTGGCAGGCCAGAAAGGACTGGCAGGATATATTCAGAGCACTAAATGAGAAAAATATGCAGCCAAGAATACTCTATCCAGCTAGGCTGTCATTGAAAATTGAAGGAGAGATAAAAAGCTTCCAGGACAAACAAAAACTAAAGGAATTTGCAAACACAAAACCAGCCCTACAGGAAATCTTGAAAGGGGTCCTCTAAGCAAAGAGAGACCCTAAAAGCAACATAGACCAGAAAGGAACACAGACAATATACGGTAACAGTCACCTTACAGGCAATACAATGGCACTAAATTCCTATCTTTCAATAGTTACCTTGAATGTAAATGGGCTAAATGCCCCAATCAAAAGACACAGGCTAACAGACTGGATTAAAAAACAAGACCCATCGATATGCTGTCTGCAAGAGACTCATTTTAGACCCAAAGACACCCCCAGATTGAAAGTGAGGGGGTGGAAAACCATTTACCATGCTAATGGACATCAAAAGAAAGCTGGGGTGGCAATCCTTATATCAGACAAATTAGATTTTAAACCAAAGACTGTAATAAGAGATGAGGAAGGACACTATATCATACTTAAAGGATCTATCCAACAAGAAGATCTAACAATTGTAAATATCTATGCCCCTAACATGGGAGCAGCCAATTATATAAGGCAATTAATAACAAAAGCAAAGAAACACATTGACAACAATACAATAATAGTGGGGGACTTTAACATCCCCCTCACTGAAATGGACAGATCGTCTAAGCAAAAGATCAACAAGGAAATAAAGACTTTAAATGACACACTGGACCAAATGGACTTCACAGACATATTCAGAACATTCCACCCCAAAGCAACGGAATACACATTCTTCTCTAGTGCCCATGGAACATTCTCCAGAATAGATCACATCCTAGGTCATAAATCAGGTCTCAACCGGTACCAAAAGATTGGGATCATTCCCTGCCTATTTTCAGACCACAATGCTTTGAAACTAGAACTCAATCACAAGAGGAAAGTCGGAAAGAACTCAAATACATGGAGGCTAAAGAGCATCCTACTGAAGAATGAATGGGTCAACCAGGAAATTAAAGAAGAATTAAAAAAATACATGGAAACCAATGAAAATGAAAACACAACTGTTCAAAATCTTTGGGATGCAGCAAAGGCAGTCCTAAGAGGAAAGTATATAGCAATACAAGCCTTTCTCAAGAAACAAGAAAGGTCTCAAATACACAACCTAACCCTCCACCTAAAGGAGCTGGAGAAAGAACAGCAAAGAAAGCCTAAACCCAGCAGGAGAAGAGAAATAATAAAGATCAGAGCAGAAATCAATGAAATAGAAACTAAAAGAACAGTAGAACAGATCAACGAAACTAGGAGCTGGTTCTTTGAAAGAATTAACAAGACTGATAAACCCCTGGCCAGACTTATCAAAAAGAGAAGAGAAATGACCCAAATCAACAAAATCATGAATGAAAGAGGAGAGATCACAACCAACACCAAAGAAATACAAACAATTATAAGAACATATTATGAGCAACTCTATGCCAGCAAATTAGATAACCTGGAAGAGATGGATGCATTCCTAGAGATGTATCAACTACCAAAACTGAACCAGGATGAAATAGAAAACCTGAACAGACCTATAACCACTAAGGAAATTGAAGCAGTCATCAAAAATCTCCCAAAAAACAAAAGCCCAGGGCCAGATGGCTTCCCAGGGGAATTCTACCAAACATTTCAAGAAGAATTAATACCTATTCTTCTGAAACTGTTCCAAAAAATAGAAACGGAAGGAAAACTTCCAAACTCATTTTATGAGGCCAGCATTACCTTGATCCCAAAACCAGACAAAGACCCCATCAAAAAGGAGAATTACAGACCAATATCCCTGATGAACATGGATGCAAAAATTCTCACCAAAATACTAGCCAATAGGATCCAACAGTACATTAAAAGGATTATTCACCATGACCAAGTGGGATTTATCCCTGGGCTGCAAGGTTGGTTCAACATCTGCAAATCAATCAATGTGATACAGTACATTAACAAAAGAAAGAACAAGAATCATATGATCCTCTCAATAGATGCAGAAAAAGCTTTTGACAAAGTACAGCATCCTTTCTTGATCAAAACTCTTCAGAGTATAGGGATAGAGGGTACATACCTCAATATCATAAAAGCCATCTATGAAAAACCTACAGCAAATATTATTCTCAATGGGGAAAAACTGAGAGCTTTCCCACTAAGGTCAGGAACGCGGCAGGGATGTCCACTATCACCACTGCTATTCAACATAGTATTGGAAGTCC